TCACTTCAAGCATGCAGGACTCCAGAATGTACTTACCAGCATAAGAAATGGTTAAAAAAATCCGCTTACAGTTAAAAGTCAATTTTTGGGGGAGAGAAAGCTTTGAGTGAAACCTTTCTTTGTGAAGTCCAAATTATTGCCTGAATGCACAGAAATCAGCCATCCAATTCTTGCAAGACTGGAGTTGTTTCATAAACCCCCCTCCCCAAAAGCACTGCACTTCCATCCTGCTATAAAGCCAGCAGCAGCTATGGCTGTTGCTGRGGAGACAGACGCATAGTTCACAGGTTTAAGCATCTCTATAAGCTGCTTTTCATCGTCGTTCTGCTATTGTCACACTTTTACCTCCTGCTGCTGCATTGAGTTCGCCTGACTCCAGCTGCTTTGAAATATCACATTTTTCTCCCCCCTCAGAATATTTTTATGTCACACTGCCATATCTGTTTGCCCCTTTTAAGCTTTGTGACCCATCAGACGAACAGAGTGTGTGTGTTTTTTCCATAACAGTAAGTGCAGCGTTCTCAGATTTTTTTTCTTCCTTTTTTATTGTATCCTGTTCTGATAATTTACCATGCACATTAAATGTCAAAGTACAGAGAAAAAGAGAGCTGGAAACAATAAAATGCTATAAATCAGTCACACTTACAGTCTATTTATCTAATAAAGTGTTGTTTTATGGATCATGGGAGCACATTATGCCTCAGACTGAGTACACCTTTCCTTTCCGTGGAGTGTTAGTGTTTCTTATGTCTGTTCGACTCCCAGGTCTCTTGCTCGGTTGTCAGTGCGGGACAGAGCAGATGCTTTGAAACAGCAGAGAACATTTTCATTCAATGATCTCATTTTTCCCTGAGGCTTTACAGGGCTCTTACAGCTTTTACTGAACAGCATGAAGCCCAGTATACTCTGCATCTCTCTCTCTCTTTCTTTATAAGTTCTTTCTCTTAATCAATGGTCTCCGGTTTTTCAAAGGCGACCCACCGCTGGTATGAAATTAAAGGTTGCTGAGGAAAGTTGTCTTAAAGCTCTTTCATTTCATTCAAATTCTCTTTAAGTTGTTTAATGTAGGCAATGAACATTAGTTATAAGTTTTTTTTTTTACCAAGAGTAGCTTTGAAAAAAGTCAAGTAAAYCCATTTGATAAGTGTCAAAGTTACTTTCTAGATTTACCATAAGAGGGTTTTATGTAGCTCCGAACCAGATAAGAAARATTATACGCTGTATGTATTTCACAATGATCACTGAAACATGTAATGCRYAAACCAGTTTAAACAAAAGCCTTTATTATGAGAACAATCYAGAAAATTATTACAATGTTAATTCAGAGAAATTCCCTTTGTCTTCATCATAGCTCATCACAACTATTCAAAAAGTGTATAGAGGTAATCATGTAGCACAGTGAGAAAACACAACAACAAAACGATTAGAAAATAGAAATCTTGGGCAGGTTTGAAGTGAAAAACGTCTCCCACAGATGTGTTTCCTGCATCAAACCCCTTTAAAACTGAGACATGTTGCTGCAATATTCACGTTGTTTTCTAAAGTTGTTACAAGAGACAAAAAACCCTGTATTCTTTACAAAGCTGGAATAAAAACAACAAAATCTATTTTATTTCGTGACCTTGGCCACCTCATTTCCACTGTAGCCACTGGAATATTTGATAAAGCCCTTGTAATTTCTTTGTTTGGCCCATGGCGTCTGATATTCTCGACGCAGCGAGAAGTGGCATACAGAAATCGCATTCCCAACCACGCTGAAGCAGCTGGTGAGCTGGTGGCCCGACAGATGTGATAATGGCACAATGCTCCCACTCAGACGGGATAGCAGGCCCGACCCCGGCAGCTTTTAATAATTGATGGCAGCCAAGACCCCGGATTGGCCAGTGATTGCATTACAGGTCACTTCTCAATAGCAATTTGCTAAAGTTGTGGTGATTTGTGCCGGGTGGCGATCAATAGACACCGTCCAGAAAAAAGGCAGCACCCCCTCCACACACCCCTCTCTCATGCTGTTTGTCTTTCTGTCTCTAAGGCCAGCTGGTCTAGATGTTATCTTTTAAAGCTTTGTGCCAAACAGTGAAGATTCTTTCACTGTGCAACACAAAAACCCGCTGCAAGTCACTTCCTTATCAGCTGGAAACACAATAGATGATAAACAAAGGATCTCAGCCTCAATAGTTTGTGTGTGATGTCATCATCAGGGTAACGCCCCACTCTGTCTGTGTGGCCAAAAGACCTCTGACAAGGACTGCAAACTGCTTGAGAGGCACGACAGAACAATGAACAAAACCAAAGGCCTTGTTTGCTGTAGAGTTCAGCAAAATGGCCACAAAAACAAGCTTTTTAAAGAGGCCTCCTTGATGGTGCCACCTTTATTCCAAGCTTACCTGCCAACTCAGCTCTGTGACTACCTCTSCTGCTGTCTCAAAGGCACACCGGCAGTAAGTCAACATGAAATCCCTCGTGCTGTCTTTGCTCGTTATATAAATCACACAGAAATGGAAGAAAAGTGTCTCAGACCTGGCTAGAAAGTGTAGTGAAGCTTCTTCAGTTGGGGTACATTAAAAATTTAGCAAAGGTTTGAGATTATATTTTAACAAACTTTTGTAAAGAAAAGAGAAATGAAATGGTTTGCTGCAGTTTATAAAGACAATCCAGGACCAGAAATGTAAATTTCCAGTGAAGACTTTGTTTATCCTGATAGATAGAATAAACACTTACATTTTAGCAACATTTTAACTATTTGACAACACTTAGCTCTTGTAATGACAATGTATTTTTTAACAATTTTTTGACTGTAGGGGAAGCACCTATAAGTCTTTTCTGGAGTCTGAATCATATTTGTGTCTGAAGGTATGTTCCCTCCTCATCTTCAGGATCACATCAKTTCAGAAGTACTGAAGATGGCTTAACTTTTACAGTTTGCTCCAAGGTACTAAGTGTGCCCCCTAAAAAGCATTTTACTTAGCTGTATTTTTATATCAGGGGTGCCCAAAATTTGATTTAATTGTGTCGGTGCATGAAACGTCAGCTGGTGAAACAAAGTGAAACCGTAAATGTACATTCATATATTAAAAATAATTAATGTGTGAAATCCAGGCTTTTAAATACCTTTAGACTTTGCTTTGTGACTTTTTACAACTTCAGAAATAGGGACATAAAAACATCAAGAAACACATATTCTGGTCAGATTTTAATGCCCCTACTAGTTATTCATCAAAAGGTTATCCAGCTCCCCGTCAGGATGAACAGCCTTTATTTTATGGTGATATTCACTTCTTAAAATCTCCAGTGGTGGGAGCTCTACAAACGGTGGAATGTTTTACCATTCGTTTGGGGGGGGTCCAAGCGGCACCATTCATGATGAGGGTTTTAGGTTTTAAAAAAAATTCTTGTTTAAGTAAAAACTCAATGTTTGACTCACTTTTGGAGCTGATTTTAAAATGTCCTTATAAAGGCCTCTCTGCACTTCTTTAGTTTTATTAATCCTGGCTGTTACCTTCTAGGAGAGCACTTGTCATTACGTAAAATATACAAAAAAGTACCAACACCATCGTTTTCTAGGGAGGTTTCATGTTTGTCATAATAATACATGTTTGATGGATGTATTTTGTGACAGAATAAAGTTGACTTTCTGAAATAGCTTGGCTGTTTTTTTTAAATATTTCAGGGCTTAATTCAGCCCTTGATGCTGCACTGATGCTTGTGTCCCGCATCCTCATTCCAGTGCACTATTGCCACTTATAAATAACTACCGGTACACAGCATATTGTCTACAAAACTGAAACTGAAATGGGTGAAGGGTTGTTTTGCGTTTAAAAGGTTAAAAAAAGCACTGGAGCTGAAATTCCCCCCTCATCTCGATGCACATCAGAATGCTTTCCTGGTTCTCCTGGAGTTCAGGTTGTTAGCCCGCTGCTCCTTCTGGCTGCAATCATGCTTATAAAAGTTATTTACTGCTTTTTTTATTGTCTTGCTTCCATTGTTGATGTTTCAACCATTTTGACATGTAAACTATCACTGTGTCATTTTGCTGCATCTGGTGTTGATTCTTTCTCTGTGTCTGTTGTTCTCTCTGTCTTCTTCTCCTCCTGCTCCCACTGCTGTGGCACAGAGAGGACGAGAYGAGAGCGGAGGAGACAGTAGATTTTGCATGCTCTAAATACAGACTGTGTGTGTGTGTGTGTGTGTGTGTGTGTGTGTGTGTGTGTGTGTGTGTGTGTGTGTGTGTGTGTGTGTGTGTGTGTATATATATATATATATATACACACACACACACACACACACACATTTATATATATACGTATATATATACACATTTATATACTGTACATATATACTGCAGGAATGGTATGACAGAAAATTTGAGTGACTTTTTCATATCAGGGTATCCGGTGAAACAGGTATCCGGTCCATGCCCAGTCACAGGTCTGTTAAAAGACTAAGGCAGAACCAAACTGGAGCTGATTGGATTATGTTTAATTGATGACCTACAGTATAAGAACCTGTATGACCTCATATGACCTCCACATCAAGATCAGTTCATAACTTTTTAACATAAATTTGGTAAACTTCTGTAAATGGGGATTTTGGGGGCCGATATTATAAGATTTTTTTCTTCTCTCTGCTGCCTTTCATTTAATTTTATTTGTGATTTTGATACACACACACATATATATACTGTATATTTTTGTCTCATTTTTCTTTTTATATTTTTCTTTTAATTGTGTATTGTATTTAAAATTATTGTTTTGTTTTAATGAAATGAATAAAGACTTTACACTGAAACTAAGTGTGCAGAAGGAGTGTTAAAGTGTCGACACCTTCTTCCAAAGTCCAACCTAAGTCAGTAAAATGAGACATAACCTGACCGTTTTAAAGCTCGTGGCAGAAATATTCTGATCATATCGTTCATCTCATGTCTTCTCTTCTGGTTTTAGTCGAGGAGGAGTGAGGAGCAGGAAGAAGTGGAGCTCTGTAAGCTCAGACAGGATTGTTACCTTTGCTTCTCCAGAGGCAGGCCGGAGTCCATTTTCACTGTCTCCCCCTCCAGTGGAGCGACGGGGGAGGTAGGAGAGGGAGGGGAGAGCTTGGTGGGGCTGGAGGAGGGCGAGAGGGGTGGAGGTTTGAGCGTGGGGTACGAGGCAGAGGTGAGGGGTGACAGTTTAAGAATAGGAGAGGATGGAAAGGAGGAGGAAGTGGAGGTTGATGGAGAAGTTGAGACTAAGGTTTTGTGGCTCCAGTTCCTCTGCCTCAGGGTTTGTTGCTGCTGACGAGACGTTGTTGAAATGTTCTCTTTGCTGGCAGAACAATCCACCGCCTCAAACTGAGCTGCAGGAAGCAGGACAGGAGACATTTCAAAGTAAAATCCTATCAAAGCAGAGCCGCTAAAGTAAATGTGCAAACTCATTCTGGTTTTTGTTTCCTCTCTAAAGCAAACAAAGTAAAGAAATGAAACTTTGTGCATCCTCTCTCCACCCACTGCTTCTTTTCTCTACCTGACAAAGCTCTGACGATGTCCTCCTTCCTCCACTCCCAGGGCAGTTCGTACTCCCCAGCCGGCCGGACGTCAGACTCCGGTCGGGTGACGGGGATCCACACCCCCTCGCTGTCGCCCTCCAGTCCGTCCTCGTAGGGCGTGTCGTAGATGTTGGGCGACGGCGGCGTTCCCTCCTCTTCCTTGCCCTCTTTCTGACCTCGGTCCAGCAGCACGCACACTTTCAGAAGGTCCTTCGAGCCTCGTCTGCGCACCTCTAAATGTGGAGAGACACAGGACAGCTGGTTTTAGGAAGTCTGCTCTCTTTGTGTCACGCTTTGTGGCGCTGAAAAACTGATCTGATCACAGCTCTGAAACAAAGAGTCCACTAAGAAGGAACAAGGAAATATCTCAAATATAAAAAGAGGAATATTAATAATAAAATAAAAACACACAGTACTATTATTCTTCATTAAGCAGTTTTATATTTTTATTTTCCCACTTTTATGTAGTTTTACTACTTCTAGATACTTTGTGGTATTTTAACCACTTAGCTTTCTGCTTATTCTGTAATAAATCTATTTCTGCTTTAGCTTTAAGCTAACCTGTTGTCACTTTTAGGTAGCATTTTTCCAACCTTTAGCAAACGTTTTGTTATTTTTAGCTTCTACACTGCAAAAACTGTCCACGTTACCAAGTTTTAAACCTTATATCAGCCAAAAAGTCTTTTTGATCTTGTTTCCAGACTGATTTACTAAACAAGAACTGATTGTGTAAGAATAATCATCTTGTTTTCAGAATGTGTAAGATTATTTGTCTTGTTAGTCTGAAAATTTGACTCTAATTAAGTCAAACATTTCTGCCAGTGGAGTAAGAACATTTTACTTGGTAAGATTCTTGAAATACTTGATTTGACTCAATTTTTTCAAGAATCTTACCAAGTAAAATGTTCTTCCTCCACTGGCAGAAATGTTTGACTGAATTAGAGTCAAATGTTCAGACTGTCAGAACCTTTCAGTCATTATCAGGTGTTTGAGCAGAGGAAGAAGTAAAACATGCAGGGCTGCGGACCTCCAGGACCAGGAGTGCACACCCCTGAGTTAGCCCCACACCCCCACCTACAACAGATTTATAATATCGACACCGCCCTAAAATGACCGATTATACCAGGTCATTGTTGTTCAGGAAACAAGACTTGAGCTCAGATCCAGCCCTGAGCACGGACCCAGAGGAGGTGGGCAGTGATGTTACAGTTTCAGGAGGAACCTGCTGCAGCACTGACCACAGATGACTCTAACCATGATCATGCCTCAAACTCTGCTCGACTCAAGACTAGCAGGTTTGTCCTGAACAAGCCTGGGTCTTTGTGGCTCCTCTTCATCACTCAGACCCAGTCTGGATGAGGATTCTCATCTTCATCAGGACTACAAAGATTAAAAATGCCATCCGGTCAAAACAAAAGGAGCAGAAAAAAAACCC